TTAACAGCAACCCAGTAATTTCCCCAAAGGACCCTCAGATCCAGCTCAATACAGTTTTTCCCTGCAAGAGGGGCGTGATCTTCACAGAGCTTGGGGCCTCCGTGTTAGTTTGAGGCACTGTAGCGACAACTCTCTACCCTAAACCCTAAACCCCAATGGGGCAGATGAAGGCTTTTTGCAGCTGCTAGGAACAAAACCTAGGTAGCCCAAACTGGCTCAACAAACCCTAAACCCTAAACCCAGGAGTCAGGCTTCATATGAGCCACAGTCTAAAGTTCTAGCATCCCCTTTCAAACCCCTATAGTAGTCCCCTATATTTTCTTTTATATACCCCCTTTAAGGAGTTTAGACTATAGTTATAGTTCAGTGGTGGCTAGAAAGGACTCTTGGTTTCCAGCATTTCCCACGGCTTTGAAGTGTGAAGCTTCCTAGCTTCCGCAACACCCTCGTTTAGGGTTTAGGGTTTAGGGCCTCCTTCGAAGCATTGAAACTACTCCGCTCCCCCTGATACGAAACACCCCACCCCCCCTGATCTAGAGGCCTAAGTAGATATCGATGGTAGGGTCCTACATTGCTGATAATAGCATAGTATAGGGTATTCAGATGAACCTCAAACACCCCAAAATGCTTGTAGCCAGGAGTATAGTATTTGGGATCCATATGGATGTCCCCCTATTTCTGGAAACTACCATTTCTTACATGCATCACTGCCACCGCGGCCGCCCTCCACACAGAGACTCTTGGTAATTCTTTTAGGATTTTCTAGGCCGGCAGTAGCCGGATAACTCTTGATCCCACAGCGGACGATGAGGCGGGGGTGCTGCGTGCTGCGCAGCTTTGGTTGCTTGAGGCTATCTGGTTAGATGTCAAAAGCATGGTTCGTTTTTGGGTACACTACAGTAGTTATTCTGTACAGTATATTATATATTCTCTTTCATTGAGAATATTCTATGATAGATGTTTTGTGTTATAGCATGGTATAATATAATACAGTATGCTATGATATCATATACTATGGTATGATACTATCTAGGTATTATATATATATATACATTATGGAGAGCTGTACTATGTGGAGACCTCATGTTTAGTATGGCATGTAATATAAAAGATAATATACTAAGATATAATGAGATATATATATGTATATATATAGTATGATATGATATGATACGATATATAACGTATAGTTATATATGTATCATATTAGGGGCTGTACTTTTTGGAGACCCAAAAAATTGGAGCATATTTCAGTCTGCTTTCCGAAGGCGTGGCCACCGTTTAAGGTTTCAAGTCCATCCGAAGAATGCAGGGTTTAGCGGTTTTAAGGGTTTAGGGTTTAAGGGTTTAGGGTTTAGGGAGTTTAGGGTTTAGGGTTTAGGGAGTTTAGGGTTTAGGGTTCAGGGTTAAGGGTTTAAGGATTTAGGGAGTTTAGGGTTTAGGGAGTTTAGGGTTTAGGGTTCAGGGTTTAGGGTTCAAGGTTCAGGGTTTAGGGTTTAGGGTTCAGGGTTTAGGGGATGTTGGGGGTTCATGTTGCAGTTGTTCCACGGATTCTTGTAAGAAAGGAAAGGGGATCTAAATCAAAAATGGAACCTACCTTGTAGTCATGTTGGGGATCGGTATTTTGAACACTTACCATGTAGTCACTCTGAAACCCTGAATCCATCCCGCAATCAAGCGCTTAATGCGTAAGCCATGCACGCTACAACCCTCCCCAGAATCAACAAACTTCCCCACCCGATATTTTCTCTAGTCTGCCTACGTATATGGTGCTATATTGGGGGGGAAGGGTATTTGATGGTATTTGTCATTACGGGAGTGAGGGGGCAAATTATGCTTCGGTGGGGGGATTATACTCAACCAGAATGTCAGCCGCCAGAGGCATCCATGTTGCAGTTCCGTTGGGCATGAATGGCATTGAAAAGTACAAACAAAATCAAGGAGGCACAGCCGCTGCACAACCTAATCTCTCAGTCCTAATTGAAGTCCTGATTGGGCCACAAATATGTCAGTGTCATTTCCAATTCGTCACTACCATCGCCGCCACCTCCTCCGCCAGCCTAGACGCAGAATAACACGCATAAGAGTTTTGGCCCGATATCCTTGCTCTCGGGATTGGTTGCAGGAGGCTTCAGATATATGGGATATCCCTATCTATGTATCCGTATCTATGTGTTTGCTTCTGTTCGTTGTTGCACCACCGCCACCACCATAACCAGTAGCAGCAGCAGCACCAGCAGGTCCACGAATGGTGTGGTTGGCTTCCTTGTGCTAGCGGCAGGGGCCTGAACATGCAAAGCTGTTATCTAGGGTTTATATCGGGTCTAGGGATGGTTTTAGGGTTTAGGGTTTAAGGTTTTGTGGAAAGTCAAAAAGGAATGGAAAATTGAAAAATGAAACAGAACCTGGGGTTCATGTATGTGACATCAGCAAAAAAAGGCGCGGCTTCTCGAAAAGGGGAGCCGGTAGGGCCACTCGGGGATGTATGCGGAGTATGAGGAGGTCCTAGGGGTCCTGCTCAGGAACTAAATAGAGATGATTTCAGAAACTACCAGATTTTGTCTGTGTATTGTATGTACAGATGCGCATCAAGATTTCTGAGGGTTTTCAGACCTAAGCGACTGTGACGACAAGATGTTTCAGGGAGGAACCCTGTATCCTCCTAACACGAAAGCTTGCCGAGTGAAAGGAACTGAGGGAGGGGATTGCTACAAAGAAGCTGATCCTTTTCGGTGTCGCCGTAACGCTGTACGAAGGATACTGTGATGTTGCATAGTGGTGGTCAGTAGGGGATAGAGGACGTGCCTTTAGCAGTTCAAATCTTATCCCCAGCGTTTCAGAGCCCATTCTCTTTTCCATTCTTGCATTCCCTGCTAACTATTACTGGTTCCTTTAATAAATTCTCCATAAATCATAACCCAGTTTCTCTTTCTTTTTCCATGTCCCTGTCTATTTGATTTTCCATTATTGGGACTTTGTCCCTACACCCCATACAGTCTACAAAAAAAACTGTAACCAGGGCTAAATGATGACCAGTGGGGTAGGCGGGGTGTTAAGGTTCTCGTTTCGGCGAATTCCTAGGAGCTTGGATGTTGGGAGCCGAGATCTCCATGTATATATGTACGTATATACGTGTATTATTCCTCCTTTATACCCCCTTCATAACCACGGTTAGAAGAGGATTGCATTATTACATCTGTCAGGCGTCTACATTTCTCAAAACCAACTTGGTAACTGTAGTCTGGACCCTAAGCCCCTAAACCCTAAAACAGAATGGAAAGTTCCCCAAGCTCCAACAATAATAATGGCTTCCTTTGGGCTAGATCTACAGCTGCGAGGTCTCAATTACGCTAAACCTAAAACCCTTAATACCCCAAACCCCTCAACCCTGAAACCCTAATGCCTAAACCCTCAACCCCGCCCCGTCCAGTGAGGTTTTTCTGGTGTCGACGAGGCCCACGGGGCCAGCCGAACATGTCCAAAGGTTTAGGGCTTTAGAGTTCCAAAGCCGTTTGCACCCAGAACCCTAAACCCTGAACGCCAAGCCCTAAACCCTGAAGCCTAAACTCTAAACCCTGAACCATACACCCTAAACCTTAAACCTAATCGAAGCCGTGGCCTGCATTTGAGGGTGAAGGCTATCAGTATAGGCACCTGGGAGGTGAAGGTAGGGTTGTTGGGACTCTATTTGAATATACTAAGTTGCTGTTTAAAGAACTTCTAGTAAGTTACCGTAATGTGGGTATATGGAAAATAACACAGTTTGGTGTTGCAGTATTATAGTAACGTCTTAAGATTCCTTAACGGCAACCAACTAATTGCGGGGAGCTTTGAGGTTTTTGGGGGTCGGACCTCATCAGCTGCTTCGTGGGCATAAAGTGTTAGCTTTAGCTTAGGGTTTAGGGTTTAGGGTTTGGGGTTTAGGGTTTAGGGTTTAGCTTGGGTAAAGTTCCAACGGAGGGGGTGGGGGCGGTGCCGAGAACGAATCCCCCGATGAGTTTTGCTTGCAAGAACCCTCTCATACGCTCCCCGACTCAACCCTAAAAAACGAAAGGGAAGTGTGGGAACTGATATCTTGTACCTGCCCGGACCGACCCTGTTCCAACCATCCCCGCCTTTGGACAAATCAAGAATGCAGTGCTTCCACTGGATGCCGTCTGAGGGAAGAGTGGCTCCGGGGTAGGAGGTGGGTCGTCTTTCAGATTGCACCCCTTGTAAGAATCCTTCTTTCTTTCATGGTTCCCTTGAAGAAGGGACCTTACCTAGAGGCTTTGTTGTAGCTTGCAAGAAGGGATGTATGCTATCATCATTCTTGTTACGATTCTGACTGTTACAATTATCTGCTACTATGTGTCTTCTACTATTCTGACTAGTCTTGTCATTCTTTTGAGCTTATGCCATTATGGTTCCTGTTGTTTCGTGTGTTGTTATTGCTGCTGCTACTCTTGCAGAATGCTCACATCACGTTCTCGTGACCAGAGCGTTGTCTGCTCATTTCCTACATTTCCGCCCCTGCACGTCCGAGAAAGTTCGGCGGGCAATCAGGAATCCAAAACTCGAAACCCTTCAATGCCAAACCCCAAGAGCCCTAAACCCCTGAACTCCCATACCCAGGAAGCCCACCCTACGACTAGAACCCTGAGCAATGTCACACAATGTCGCTCCGTACATTGGCGATCCTTCTGGCCTGCGTCGCCCAGCATTCTTCCGGCAGCAGGCCTAGTCTGAACGTCAACTTCATGCAGGAGTGAGCCCAAAGCATCGATGGCAACGGTAGCAAAAACAACAAGACTAGTATTGCTGTCGTCCGTCGCCGCCACTGCCGTCGTGGTCGTAACAGAGGAGGAGGAGGAGGAGGAGCAGGACGAGGAGGAGGAGGAGAAGTAGTAGATAGTAGTCGTAGTAGTATATCGTAGTTGTAGTCGCAGCAGCAGCAGCAGCAGCAGCAGCAGCAGTAGTAGCAGTAGCCGTAGCCGTAGCCGTAGCAGTAGCAGTAGCAGTGGCAGTAGCAGCAGTTGCAGCAGCAGTAGCATCAGCAGCGGCAGCAGCAGTAGCAGCGGCAGTAGCAGTGGTGGCAGTGGAAAGTTTTTGCGTTTAGGATGTTTTGGTTGAGGGTCGAGAAATATGAAAGGTCAGCACCGGAATAGCATCGGATGTTTGAGCTAAAAAGCAGGTAATGACCATTGTCAGAACTATGACCAGCAATGACTTCTCTCGATATTCCTTGCTTTTGCTATCATGTCTGCTGGTACTGTAATATAAACCCTATAATCCCTATAGTAATTTCCATTTCACCTTCCATTTACTATATAAACCCTATTACGACTGCGGTTGATCGCATTCTTATTCTCATCGCCCCAAAAACTCGTTGAGAATCCCCGGTAGAGACCCTAGAGACCCCACCCCAAAGCCCAAACCCGTAGCATCTCTTGGTAATCTGAACATTCCCCTAGGGTCCAAGGACCCAAATAATAGGATATTAGGGCCCAAATACCATTCATATTATAGTATTTGGGCCCTAAAACCCTATTATTTGGGTCCTTGACCCTCAGGGCAACATTTTTTTAGGGGTCCTGAAGGGCGAGAATTTCTGTTTGAGTTTGCTAGGCCTGCGCTCAACTGGAGCAAGGTCTAGGGATATGGGTAGTTCCCAAAATGAGGGTCCCATTTTGGTACCTTTGAAAGGAGTAACATAGGGGTTCTCTAGGGGTATATAGGGTTTAGGATTCAGGGTTTAGGGTAGTTCCCAAAGTAAGGGTAGGTACCATTTCGGTGCCTTTAAAGGGGTATATGGGGGTTATCAAGGGGTAAAAAGGGTTTAGGGTAGTTCCTGAAGTTAGGGTCCCATCTTGGTCCCTCTATTAGCTGCCGCAATATAATCCAGAACCAAAAGGGGGCCCATAATCTTGAGAACAACCCATATGTTGAGATAGGATGGAGATCCCGGGAGCAGGCATTTACAGAGTTCTCGCTGAGCAACCCTGAACCCTAAACCCTCAATTGGCTCCGGCGTAGTACGTCATTTAAGGCTTAGGGCAGCGGTCTACGTAGGGCTTAGGGGCTAAGAAGATATGGGAGATGTTTGGCGTTGAGGCTACTGAAATCTTCACTCGGGTTCAAAGAACCATATGGTAGTTTCCCAAAATAGGGGGACCCCAATATACTGGGTGCTCGTAAACCCCAAAATACTATAAGCCTTATTACTGGGACCCCCCAAAAAGGTACCCCTAATTTTGGGAAATCTCCATAAGCGCCATGCTAATCTGTCCTTACTCCTGTTGTGTTTATCCTTTTTCCTGAGGTTGCTGCTTCATTTTTTTCAGGAATACGACTCTTGTCATTTCACTTTCCTATTTCACTTTCCTATTATGTTTTTCTCTTTGCGTGGTTGCTCTGTTAACCCTCAACCCTAAACCCTAAACCCTAAACCCCCCTCAACCCTAAACTGTTGCTTCTAACTCCTGACATAGAGCAGGAGAGGACCCTGGATGCCAACCGCCACCGGGAGGCTCCGTTGAGGGTTTAGGGTTTAGGGTTTAGGGTGGCAAGGGGGATTATATGGGGAATAGCCAGGAGAAGTGGTTCCCTCCCAGGAATTAACATGTAAACCCAAAAGGGCCCTATAAAGACTACGGTGCTTTTAAAAGAGGGCTATATGTTTTCCACGTTAGTTTGGAGGAGCATAGGCTTCCCAAGTCGCAAGAGGCCTCCAACCAGGGCCATCAACAGCGGTTCATCGATGAGCTGAGTCTGGGCTGCTGTTAAGGAACCTAAATTAACTTACACAAGAATAAGCAGACCCTTATATTTAATATGTACCCATATTATGGTAATTTAAATTTAGATCCCGAAACCCTAAACCCTAAACCCTGAACCGCAAACAGCAACCCAGGAATTTCGACTTTGGCCTCGATATTGGAGGCCCCTCCGAGTTGGTAGAAATGCTGCCTCTGGGCCGTTCTCAGTTAAAGTGTTACTGGGTTTAAGGTTTAGGGGTTTA